TTTTTTCCTATGATTTTTCGTTTAATTGTAATCATGGCTTGTTTAACCAAAATAATACCTTGTAAATATAGCCTAGTGTGTATCATTTACTAATAATTTTACTAATTACTAATTTTTTCTTGTTTCGCCCTTCTGAAATTGGGGTCTTATAAACCCATACGTCTTATATACCGTCAAATACGGTAGTTTATTTATCTATTCATTTAATTAATTATTTTATTTTTTTAATTTATGTATTTGTTTTATATTTTCTTCTGTTGTATATTAGTTTTTTTTTCTAGGTTTTGCTGATTGGAATATTAGATTGATGTTTTGGAATTCTATCTCGTATTTTGGTCTCGATGTACTTATTGATAGTTTTTCACTTGCCACTCGCATAAATCCTAAATGATTCGTTAAAGTAACGGTGGTGTCTGGTCTGATTGAGGCATGAAACTGACAGTCACTGTGCAATATTTGAGCCATATGACCAAACTCTCTATATCAATATATATCCAAATATTGGTGAAATGTAAGTTTCATTCGGACAACTTCTGGCTATGAACCATTACTTTATCGAACCTACTCCCAAGATCAATACAATCTTAAACCGTTCAAACCGAAAGTCAATGGTTATATTCCCCACATATCCCCATAAATAGTGTCTCTTACTCTGAAACCCTCTATCCGGAGGTGCTCTCGGGACTTGCACAAAGTGAACATTATTGTAAAAAGAATGTTCCTTAAATTCAACCGACAAGATCTTTCTTTTTTTTAAGCATTACGCCCCGAGCAAGGCGTGAAGCCGCTAGGATGCAGGGGGTTGCAGAAGATTTGGAGTAAGAGCAGATAGGAGTGATAGAAGAAAGAATGAGGAGAAGGATAGTGGGCAGATCAGGGTAACTGGAGGTGTCGATTGACATTACATTTGAATAGTTGGAAATTATAGCTATCAGGGAAACAGTAATTGGGAAGGGTGTTCCACAAGCGAGAGGTGCGAGGTATGAAACTATTGGAGTAGAAGAGACGGCTACATTTAAAAGTTTCTACAGTGTAAGGGTGTGAGTGGGATGCCAGCCTTGTAGGGTGCTTGAATTCATGGAGTCTGGGAACCAGTGAAAGCAGCTCATCGGAGAGATTACCATGGAAGTATTTGTAAAAAAAGACAGAGAGGCGACGGTGCGTCTGTGAGAGAGTGACTGTAGACGAGATGCCAGATCAGGGTCCATTATATTACATATCCGTCTCTGGATCTTGTCAAGAACTCCGAGGTAAACAGAAGGTGCACCAGACCATATATGGCAGCAATACTCCATGCAAGGACGAATGGTTGATTTGTATATTTGAAGGATCGATTCCGGGGAGAAAAATTTCCTGGCGCGGCACAGAGAGCCAATCTGTTTGTTACATTTTTTCTAATTTTCAACTAAGATGTTCTACTTCGGGATCAAAATCACGGATAGACTTTCCAAAGTTCATATTTTCTTCACGCGGTTTTGATTGTCTCAGTGATTGTTAAGAACTGTGTATTGTCAGTATGCGAAAGAAGTGTTGATGTGCTTTATTTTTTGCAACGCTAGAATTTGAATCAGTTCCAAACCACGTGTCATGTGAAACAGTTAAAGTGAAATGAAGCACTACTGTTGTAGCATACCTACGGACAATAATGGGTATGTCCCCATTCACATAAATACAATAAGAAAAAAACTGTATGTTGGTCTGCAGTTGGAGATTCGTCTCCAGCTGTGCTGGTCAAACTCTTTGCCTCCGGGCAGAGAGGATCCCCAGACGAGGCTAAGTCTCGTCTCGGGAAACGGCTACCAGACCCCGTTTTATACGAAGTCTACGTGGAATTTTGACCGAGGCTACAGGCTCCGATATCCGACATTAAATTCGGCCTTGAGCCGCATCTGACCGCGTGGGGCGGTTGGTAGATATCCTGCAGTTGGATATTGATTGTGGAATTCACTCAACTCACTTCTAGCAGTTGAATACTTCTTCTACGCGACCCTAGCGAATCTTATATGTGTTGTTCGGGGGGGGGGTAGAGTTCTAATTCACGTGCCATGCCTCTTCCGGATGTCTCAATTATTTTTCTTTAACTCAATAGTGGTGAACTAAAAATAACTGAAACACCCGGAAGAGGCATGACACGTGGAACTAGAACAATCTACCTCGGTGAACGAAATAAAGGGTTCGGTACGAAATTCCAATCACCTGAAGAAGGCCGGAGCTTACAACGGCCGAAACGTTGTGAATATGGTAATGAAGATGACGATAACAGTCCGAATAATATAAATAATGTAAATAATCATAATACCTCATCTCATAGATATAGACTGATGTTGAAGAAAAATTCCAATCACCTGAAGAAGGCCGGAGCGTACAACGGCCGAAATGTTGTGAATACGGCAATGAAGATGAGCATAACAGTCCGAATAATGTAAATAATCATAATACCTCATCTCATATATATAGACTGATGTTGAAGAAAAATTTCAATCATCTGAAGAAGGCCGGAGCGTACAACGACCGAAACGTTGTGAATATAGCAATGAAGATGGCGATAACAGTCTGATTAATGCAAATAATGGGAATAGTCATAATACTCTATCTTAGAGATGGGGACAGATATTGAGATGAAGCATGTATTTACATATACATATATATATTCTTATTCTATTGCACGCATATGCATTCCTTCACGAGGAACCCAAATTAACTCTTTACAAGTTTACCCAATTAAACTTTGAATATACTAAAAATAATACACTGTTCGATAGAAGCGGTAAACACTATGAAAGTATAAAAGTACATATATAGATCTTGCCACTAAATAACCCATAGCGGTATTGATATGCCGCTAAACCAACTACCTTCCAAAATATAGAAGCGATGATAAACTAATTCTAAACGTAGTTTCGTATCTTTCTACCTTTGATTCTACCTTTGACACATAATTCATAATCGTCAAATAGTTAAATTATTTCCTGACACCTTAATAGTTTTAATAATAGTAGTTTTGATAATTTTAATAATAATTTAGATAATTTTAATAATAATAATAGTTTTGATATTTTTAACAACTATAAAAACGTATCAAAACACTATATTATATATATAATATAAAAACGTTCCCAAATCAACTTGCAGGCAAACAACAAACTTAAAGAATGTCTATGAAATATACACACACACACACAATTACGAATAAACATTCAAATCCTACATAGACAAACTAGACTCATGGCATACATGCATCAAGCAATATTTAGGGTTTTTTTTTCTGTTCGTCTTGGTATGTGTTAAATATTTTTGAGCTTCGAAAAAAAAATATCACGTCCTTCAGTTCGGAACGCGATAAATTATACTAATGCTGCTTAGCAAGTCAATTGCGCGTGAAACCTGACTAACCAATGAAAATAAAACAACATAAAAATAAAAATACAAGAATTTACTTTTTTTTCATATCGCATTCTCTGATGAAACTTTAATAAATCTGAAGCGTTAGATTGATAAGCGTTTCCTATTTGATTTTTATCGTATCATTTTATCGGATTCCGATATATTTTTATATGTATTTGACACCCTAATTGATAAATCTATTTATTATCTATCGCAGATTGTTGTGGAACGGTCGATGAAACGCGAAGCATACACTGTGTATTAAAGATACTTCGAGTTTATCTTTTCGAGAGACTAACTTCGTTTTTAAAGCATGAAGTGTGGATAACATACAGATGACAACTGGCGCGTATCATCTTTACGCTTTGTATACTTTTATTATGGCTTGTAACTTCTGCTGAGTGAATTGACCCCACAGCTAGGCCTCTAGCCGACCGACTGTCCAACTCGTCTCATTTCTACTGACCAACTGATTATTTATTCGCTTTCCAAAGTAACAGCTTTTACTTTTCTTCCTTTTGCCATTTCAATTTCCTGTTTTCTTACATCGGATTCTGTGGCTACTTTGTCTTCAGCTAATCATAATACAAACCTCTTCACCTTTCTCCAACCAGCCAATAAAAGACCTTCTTCAAACCATGGCCATTACTATGTGTATTTGTTCCCGCTACATTCTATTACAGATCTCAGTGTTTACGCCATTATTTAGTGTTTTAATTCGAATATTTGGAATGCTGATCTTCGAAGTAAACTCTTCTGCTATAAAGATTGGCGCTGCGCAATCTTCATAAATCTATCTCCAACCATTTGATCCATCTCATCATGGTGCCTATTGCCAGTTCTAGTTGGTTAATCTTTGGAAATTTATCTAAGATAGCAGGAAGATTTATTGCACAGTTAGAATTACCCGCGTTATTTTTGCTTCTGATAAATAAACTTGGTTCACGTCCCGCTTGTCGTCATGGCTTCAATCCTCGTCGAAGACATCTGCTGTTAAATTAAACATGTTTGAAAAGTCTTTTTATACGCCGTGTCCCTTCAGGATGTGGGCGATCTCAACACATTTTTGTCTCTTGTAGCTCGAAACAATATTCGGCTCTTCACTAGACCCTCTTTGTTTTCGCTTTGCGACTGATTCGTCTAAACTCTTTACGCAGGTAAGACAGATGTAGTAAAGATTCTTTTCCGTTTCACTAATGATAAATGTTACTAAAAAGAAAAAAAATGGCCAAGAAAGGAACAAGAACCTGACTCATGGAAACCTGTCTACCTAACCTGTAACGATAACACTTCGTAAAACCTCTCACACTCTTTCCCTTTATTGTTTTCAATTCTTTAATAAGCTTATCTCCTCTATTTTTTCCCTCTTTCTCTCAACCTTTTTCTTCTTCATCTACTTCTCTCTCTCTCTCTCTCTCTTTTAACATGTTTTTCTTTTTCTTTCATTTCTTTTCCTTTTGATCAATTTTTGTTTACCACTTGTCTTTCTTTTCCTTTTCCTCATCTTTTTCTTTCTTTCTTTTTTCTTTTTTCATTCTTTCTTTCTTTCTTTTATTAGTTTTCTAACTTTCTTTTTTCTTTTCGTCTTTTATTGTTTTACATCTTTCTATTTATAGCCTCTTCTTTTCCTTTCTTCTTCCCATTTCTTTTTTTAATTTCCTCTTTTTTCTTCTTTCTTTCTTTCTTTCTTTCTTTCTTTCTTTCTTTCTTTCTTTCTTTTAATCAATATTCTTCTTCTTTATCCCTGCGTACTTTTATAACGTTTGCATTATATCATTTTGTATCTATCTACTCTATAAACGTTAAAAAAGGTTATATGTATATATAATCGGAATCACCCCAAGCAGTAATGCCCCTAAGACACAAAGGGTTACAGAGTGTGGACGAATTAGGAACAGAAATATTAATGATGAGCAGAAAGAGAAGAGAGTAATCAGGTGGGCAGTAGATAGCGATTGACATAGCGTTTAAATTTTCGCAGATTAAAGTTGACCGGAAAGCATGGAGCAGTAAGGGAGTTCGACAAGCGAGAAGTGCGAGAAAAGAAACTACCATAGATCTTACGGCTACATCTAGCCAGATCAAGTGTAAATTGATGAGATCTCGATGCCAGTCTAGTGCGGCCTTTAAATTCAAAAACTCTGGGTACCATAGCGAAGAGCTCATTTGAACAATTGCCATGAAAGTATTTATAGAAAAGACGCAGAGAAGCAATCTTACGGCGTTGGGAAAGTGCCTGGACAAATCAGGACCAATCACATTGCAGATTTTTGTTTGTAACTCATCAAGGAGTTCAAAGGAAATAGCAGCGGCACGTGACTATATTCGGCAGCAACATTCTAAACATTAACGAATGGTAGACAATTAATAATATTATTTTTCTTCTTCGTTCAATCCTGTGCATGTACATTAGACTTTCTTTATTTCTCCTGATTAATCATCTACCGAAAAGATAAAGGCATATAAATATTAAATAATAGCTTATCTCAGCTCCGACATCTGGAGGTTGACCTTTAAAGTCAGATGTAAGACATAATGAGCCGATTTTGATTAGCTGATCTAGCGTGAGAATGATAGATTGAGAAAGCTTTTTCAGCGAGCTGTTTCTTGATCGTCAAGCGATGTAGAAGTGTTCTCTTTCGTGTCTGAAACGACTCCCCAGTACGTCTCTGTGTGTGTGGGGGGGTGCGACTCCCATTGGATAGTTAGTAGATGTCAGCATTAATAAAAATAGAGGAGTTAAAATGCTCTCTGTTGAAGTCATTCATTTCCGAACTGAAACGATTGACGATCACCGGTCGAAAGAAATGCCGATCTGAGATAATTCACCGCTGTCAACATACAATACACATAGTAACGTAGCTGAATAAAAAAAAAAAAAAGTATGATGGAGTGATCAAAGGGCGGTTCAGTGACAGACGTCATTAAAACAAGGTAAACGCAGAAATTACTTATGTGATTTAAATAGTCGACAGGATTACGAGACTTGGATCATAGAACGCCTTTAAAGCGACCAGCAAATATTCCTGACATTCACCTTCAGGGATGATATTACAGATTATTTTTTTCATTGGTTTCCGGGCGCCCAGCAAAAATATGCTGGAACTGGGCCGACGATATTTAAGTGCACATTTTCATTTTGTATGTTACGGCAGTAATTATTGTTTTAAACATGTTAAAAACAACCGCCTTAGTTTCCTTTCTTTCAGCATAGGATCAGTTTTAGAACCGCTGGAATGACAGGTGTAATCGATTTCATTGTCTGCGATGGAAGTCACTCCAAGCAAGCGTACGAAAAGAGTAACGCTGCATATCAGTGGTCAATCTGCAAGGAACAACTTCGTAGAACAGGCATACGAAGTACTAATATGTGCACTGGGTTATATTTCATTGGAAAAATACGAAAAAATTAACGGAATTATTTGGCCTTGAAAAATATTGTGCCATCCATGATTGCATCAGATTTTCCTCACGCCCAGACACTATTGTTTTGACTGTCGATTAGTTGTCCTACGGCCATTGTCTGAACGTTAATCCAAGGAAGCGTACGAAAATTGTAACGCTTCACACACACAATGGCAAGCCTTAACAGTGAGCAAATCAAAGTACTATAGACTGGACTGGAAACACTCCTGATTTAAATCTTGTTATGGTCCGGTTCCTTGTACCACGGTGATAGTCCAAGGTAGAACCAATAAAGAAGAACTCGAACACGTATATGGAATAACACAGATATATTACAAACAGGAATATATACAGAGAAGTAGAAAGTGTTAGTACGAACAATCAGGTTTAGTAGTAATTGTCTGAACACGACTCTGTTTCGGACTGCCTCTGACTCGACTGACTGACTCGCTCGCTCTGACTGACTGACTGACGCCTGACGGACCTCACTCCAGACTTCAGACTGAACTCTTCGCTTCCTCTTGAGGTGCAGTATTTATTACGTATGGAATAGTCCATTATGTTATTATGGGTAAGGTCCCCTAACAAATCCATCATCGAGGAGTGTGCGTTTTAAATAAAGTAGATCATATTATTTTTTCAAAGAGTCGTTAGTTGAAAACTTAGTCAAATTTTATGTGACGCCAACGTGTAATAACGAATTTGAAATCGTAAATAACATGTTTGCAATAACATTTTTCATGCAATTCAAGAATGCAGAGTGCATATTTATAAAAGCTTCCTTTCTTACTTCTTTTATAGTTTTGTGACGACTTTATTTAGTAATTTCTTATGATACCTAAACCGACGTTTTTATCCACCTCAATGAAAATATGGCTCAGTGGATAAAAGCGTTGGTTGGACCCAGTAACCTGACTCAAAGTGTTGTGAGTTCAATACCTGGCTACAGCAGAGGTGAACAAAAACTTGGGGTTAAAAGGGAGATAACTGATACTGAGATATCCGGAAGAGGCATGGCACGTGGGACTAGAACAATATACACCGGTGGGCAAAATAAAGGGTTCAGTTCGAAATTTCAACCACCTGAAGAAAGATGGAGCGTACAACGGTCGAAACGTCGTGAATATGGCAAGATGAGGACAACACTTCGAACAATGCAAATAATTGGTAATTTCTTTTCTATATATTATATTCTCTGACATTTCTCGCGGATGAATTAGAAACTTAAAGCAGCAAAGATGTAGTCCAACATACAGATGAATACCATGGAATGATCATGCGAACAACGAGGAAGCTTAAATGAAAAGACATACTTAGAACCGGAAAGAGTTGACATTTCTGGGAGGCATAATGAGAAAAAAAAGGTCTTAGAGAGTATCACTTCAACAACATATGGATGGCAAGAGAGACAGAAGGAAATCGTGAGTAACCTATCTGAATAACTTGTGAAAATAAATGGGAGATTAACGTTTGAGTGTAATGTGACAAACATGCAAGCTACAGAGAATAGGAAGTTGTAGAGAGGCATGACCGTCCATGTCCTGAAAGGAAACGGTATAAAGCTGATGCTAATTTCCAGAGGAGTGATTCATTGCTCTTTCTAGGGCTAATATTTTCCGTTGATGTGAAGTACAAAAATTATTTTGAGTAAACTGCCAGGTCTCCTGCGAGGAGAGTTGGTTCTCTGTGCCGTGATCTCGCCAGAATCTTACATATGTATAAGTCTAGCATACGTCCATGTCTTGAATATTGCTGTCACATTTAGTCTGATGCTTCCGGTATGTATTGAAAGATTCTTGATAAAATTTAAAGAAGAATTTACAATATTATCCGTTCAAACCTTGCATATCGGCTTCAGTCACTTTCTCACGGCCGTAACGCAAATTCCCTGTGTCTTTTCTATAAATATTTTTGACTTTACAAATTTAAGCGTAGTACTAGATTGGTAGATATGTCTCATTATTTTACGGTTGAAATGGCTAGATGTAACCGCAAGTTCTATGCTAATATTTTCTTCTCTCGAAATTCTCGCTTGTGGAATTGTCTTCCGGTCTCTTGTTTTCCAGTCAAATTTAAAATTCAAACACTTAAATGCAATGTAAATCGTCATTTTCTGGTTAATTCCCGTTAGTTTATTATGCTCTCTCCTTAATAATGTTTTTCTTTTTCTCATATTCTTTCACACTCAGTAAACCCTTGCGTCTTAGTGGCTTTACCGCCTTACTTGGGATGAACGCTATAATTGACTGTTGTCTTATATATAAATAATGATAATTTATATCAGCCATTTATCTGCTCTTTACCCATTTTATATTAATGCTCTACAACAAAAGGTCCAAGAGCCAGTCAAGGTAGAGACTTACTGAATTAGATTGTTATAATGACGTAAGAGAAGGTAAGAAATGCAGATTATGAGGATATGTAGGATAGATAACGGCTGATCCTAGACTTGAAAAGGTTAAGATCGTAGTGGTCGGGGAAGCAACCTCTTGGGACTTTGTTCCACAATGCAACAGTTCTGGGTAAGTACGAAATACGAAGGGAAAGAGGAAGATTCGATCCTGTACATGTGTCATGGTGGGTTCTAACTGTAAGGGTCGGAACTGGTCAAACTAAGGAGAATGTATATCGTTTGAACATTTTTCATAGAAGTAGCAATACAATAGTCTTACAACATTTCTTCTATGGCAAAGGGGTTGTAGGTTTTAATGTAATTCATCACCCACAAGGCCGCGCAAACGCTTAGCGACTCAGCGTCCGCATATTAATTGTCATTCTTTCTATAGTATTAAATGTATTTCAGTGGGGATTTGACGATACACGACTCGAGTTCAGTGGTAATGGCCTATTTTTTTTTTTTTTATTTATTCAGTAAAGTTAAAAGTTTGAATTTTGATCCCTGATATAACGATAAAATAAAAGACCTTTGTCTTGGTCTTTGTGGTTTCGATGGTGTATTTCAATCTATTCGGTTTGGTTTGATGTGTTTTATGGCATATCAACCTCAATAGGTTGTTTAATGCCGACAAGATTTTTTATTTCTGGTAATATTTTTTTCTTCAAAAATGTATTGCTGGTAATAATCTTTTTCCAAAAATTTATTGCTGGTAATAATCTTTTACAAAAATGTATTGCTGCTATTAAAACCTATTTTATGCTTTCATGGTGTTTTGACCCCTATGGGGTTTCAACTATTTTCTCAAAGGTGGGACCCCAACAGGTGCTACAACCCCGGGTCAGGTTGAACCTGAGAACACAAGCAATTAAGAGGTGAATCTATGCTCCTCTAAAACCCTCTGATCAGAGGCCTTGCTGGATGTAGTTTATCGTCTTACCCAGGACGCGGATGTAGTTTATCGTCTTACCCAGGACGCGGGTGTACTTTATCGTCTTACCCAGGACGTGGATTTAGTTTATCGTCTTACCCAGGACGCGGATGTAGTTCATCATCTTACCCAGGACGGTGTTTCAGTCGATGTATTATAATTTTTTTTTCATCTTAATACCTAATGAAAGACAAATTTCTTCCATTGTCGTCTTTGCTTTCTTTCTTATTTCCTTTTTTTTCTTTCTCTATCTTCTTTCTCTCTTTCCTTTTCCTATTTTTTCTTTTTTCGCCGTTTATAATGCCTTTCTTATCCTTCTCTTCTTCTTTCTTTCTTTCTTTCTTTCTTTCTTTAATTATACATTGCCGTTTCGTTTGTCATTTCTTTCTTTCTTTTTTTAATTCGCCCTTCGTTGTCATTTCTTCCTTTCTTTCTTTTTCTCTTTTTCATTCTCGCTTCGTTTGTCATTCCTTCCTTTTTTCCTTCTCCCTTCATTTTTCATTTCTTTCTTTGTTTCTTTCTCTCTTTCTTTCTTTCTTTCTTTCTTTCTTCTAATTTTTCATCCTCCTTTCGTTTGTGATTTCTTTCTTCCCCTTTTCTCTTTTTTTATTCTTGTTTCGTTTTTCCTTTCTTTCTTTTCCTTTTCGCTTCGTTTTTCCTTTCTTTTTCCTTTTTTTCATTCTCGTTTCGTTTGTCATATCTTTCTTACTTTTTTCTTTTTTATTCTCGTTTCGTTTTTCCTTCCTTTCTTTTTATTTTTTTTCATTCTCGCTTCGTTTGTCATTTCTTCTTTCTTTTTCCTTTTTTCATTCTCGCTTCGTTTGTCATTTCTTCTTTTTTTATTTTCGCTTCGTTTGTCAATTCTTTTCTTTCTTTTTTCATTCTCCCTTCGTTTGCCATTCCTTTCTTTCTTTCGTTAGGTCTTTCTTTCATTTTCTTATTTTTTTTCATTTTCTCTTTTTCATTTTGTCACTTATTTTAAGTGTATTTTCCTTTGTCTATTCTATTTATTTCTTTTCCCTCTCTCCATTTGCTTTTTCCTCTTTCGTTCTCCCTCTGTGCCTTTCTCTTTAACTTTCCCTGTCTTCTTTTTTTTCAGCTTGTCAAAAACTAGCTCAATGTTAGATTTAGGAGACAGAAATTATCTGCCCTTTTAATCCGCCTTAATCCGCACTATCAGTAAATATGGTGATTCTTAATGAAAAATTGACGGATAATCATATGAATATTTAACACAGTTGCCGCTTACAATAAAGTTCATCAGGAAGAACGAGGCACCAATTGTATCTTGTATTACCGATACTAATTTAAAAACGCTTTCACGTCTAAGTCAAAGGTGAGTTGTCAGAATTGCAAATTCATAGGTCGGGGTTTTATAATCGATGGCGGTAATAAGTCAACTTCCAAATAAAAAAAGGAAATGCGGCAAAAGGTCCCCGCTCCAGAGCCGCCATTCTAATCATTTCAGTGTGTCCTATATCGAAATCAAGCAAATTTCATCGATTTTAAAATATTTTGAAATTACATATACACTGCATAGAACTCGTGATTACCTTAAATATTATAGGTCATGGCTGACAGAACGTTATTCTTTTCGCTGTCAGATGCTTGTAAAATCTATGGGATCCTCAGCTTTTGAACAGACTATATTGCTCATAATTTTCTATTATTTGTCTACACAAAATCTTATTAAAGAAAAATGTACGCAGGAAACGAACTTGTGTCCCTGAATATAATTTTTTATAGGATTTCTCGAATATTCAGACCGGTAGACGAAAATAAATAGATATACTGTTTAATAAATAAACGGATCGTCTACTTAAATATGGGTATCCACTAAAAGTAAAGTTTAAGTAATAAAATCTGTCGGATTAATAATTAAAACTATCCATATGTTTGTCACGTTTTGAATCCGATCTTAAAAATTTACACACCCTCTTTCTCTATTTCTTTCCTTCTTTCTTTCTGTCTGTCTGTCTGCCTCTCTCTCTCTCTCTCTCTCTCTATATATATATATATATATATATATATATATATGTAGTTGAGTAAAGAAAATCTTGGTAATCCGTATGGATAATCCCAAGGAGGATGAAATCCAGAGAGCTCAATGTTAAATCAGAGCGAATAATTTAATTTAAAGAAAACCAGACAACTTTAAGCTTCTATAACGTTGTAATTATTTCCGCAGGGATTTTTGTTCTCTGGATCATTATACATGGAAGAGAGGTCTGATGATCCAGGGAACAAGGAAATCCCTGGGGAAATAAATTATAATCTTATGGAACCTTAAAGTTGTCTTTAAATTATATATATATATATATATATATATATATATATATATATAAATGACAATAGGAAAACTGTAATGGTTATCGACGCGTTTCGTCCAATGTGGACTTTCTCAAAACAAACGTACACAACAATATCGGGAAATCAAAAGAAAATAGTTGAATCCGTCAACACAGCACTAATAACAATATCTCCACACGTGACAGTAATTTACGTAATTTTCCGTTAACAGTATGAAAATAGCGTCCTCTATATATATATATATATATATATATATATATATATATATATATATATATATATATATGTATGTGTGTATACATAAGTGAGTATTGAAGACAACAATGCCAGGCGAAACTCTGTTTCATGCTTGAACGCAATCTTCACGCCATGTGTATTGTATTTAGGCACAACTATTTTTATATGCTGGCCAGTAGTGCATTCTGGGTAGGACTATTTTGTTTTTCTAACAGTTTTTCTAACTAACAGTTATCAGGCGAGCAGTAGTGGTACTATTTGAAATTATTCCTGTGGCTATCGAGTGGAAATAATTGTGGATTCGAATGCAGATTTGTGGCTATTTTATAATGTTCTTTGTTAATTTTTTTACTCATTACTTATCATTGATTTCTTTATTTGCCGATGTTGGTTGTTATTACGCTTACTCGTGTCTAAAACGTAAGAAAATAATCGAAATAAATGAATAAGAAAAATTAATTAAATACTAAATAAGTTAACAAAAAATAAATGCACACAAACGTGAAGAAAGAAAGAAATAAATGCACACAAACGTGAAGGAAGAAACAGACTCGCTGCTGGGTGTTGATCTCAATGTCCACAACCTGTATCCTATACGGAACCGTCATATAGCCTGACGTGCTTTTACCGATTGAGCCACAGAGGAGCGTTCGGTTAGCAAGATCGATTTAACTGGGTTTTATTTTATTTAATTTTTTTAAAAAAATGTATAAGCATAAAAATTTCTTAAAATAATTGTCGAGATTTGTCCATTTCATAATGTGTGACGTCATTTGATTACATTTGGATACGCATTGTACGGATATGAATGTACGTGAGAGAATCATGGAAGATTGTAGTTTAAAAACAGTAAAATCGATCTTTAAATATATATATATATATATATATATATATATATATATATATATATATTTTTTTCAATTAAGTAATTAATTATTTGAAGATATATATATATATATATATATATATATATATATATCTTCAAATAATTAATTACTTAATTGAAATTACATAAATAAATAAATTGTCGGACTTTGTCCATTTCTTAATATATGACGTCATTTGTTTACATTTGATACACCATGAGCAGTTATGAATGTACGAGATTTATGGAAAATTGAAGTTTATAAGCAGTAAATTCGACCTTGCCTACCGAGTCGGTTAAGGCACGTCAGCGTAAATGACGGTTCCGTATAGGATGCAGGTTCGAATCCTGTCAAAGGATGAAAATTTCTCGGACATTCAGGCCGGTAAATGTTATTTAATACTGTTTATTATAAACAGAGCATTTACTTAAATACTTGTATCTATAAAAAAGAACGTTAAACATAAAAATGTCTTTAATAAATATATATATATATAATATGAGTTTGTGTGAGTAAATGTGTTTTCTGTCATATATATATATATATATATATATATATATATATAGAGAGAGAGAAAGAGAGACAACGATAATGTGTGTGTGTGTGTGTACAAATAAGGACTTGAACCCACAAAAAAATAAAATAGATTTAAATAAAGACGAATATCATAAATACCTTAAAGGATTCCATTTCAGCCAATACTTTTTCAAAAGGTGGGCGTTGACGCCATTAGACAAAAATACAGACACAAAAAAAAAAACCTCGGAGAATTCTAGTAATATATCTTTAGACATTTCTCAGATACAATCTAACAACTGGACAATTTTGCTGTTACACAATTTGGACAATTTTGCTGTTACATCCCGGTATATCGAAAGATGAAGAAAAGTTCGGAGGACCTAAGCCACCGACCTTCTGTTTATGTTTGTTGCTTTATGTTCCTCTACGAATAATCAACACATCTGTAAACGCGTTCAATTCTAGTCATTTTACGTGTTTTGTCAGTGGCTACCATTTTCTATTAATATTGTTTGATTTGATATCCCCTCCGACTAGCTGTTGTTGCCGTTTCATGATGCTTATATCTCAGCTCCTTCAGTCAGCTAAGAGACACGACACTTCCCTCAGCACATGAGCTGTTCCGAGTAACACGTCTAACTGCGAACTCCAAATGATGTCACATATCTCCAAGGCGTTTTGAGTGTCAGAAATATTCCTGGAAATAATGCTTAGTTCTCCAAACACAAAATTGTCAACTTGACCTGCTGCTTGTTATATTACTTTGATCTGCCCTGGCGTCAGGTCCCGGTACCTCTTTCTCTTTGTTTGATACCACATCTCAGGGTTCTTAGCCCAAGGTATGTCTACCATTGTGCAAAAGTGTGACATCAGGGCGATTTCTCTCCAAGCGCTTGTCAGTGAAGATGCTCTTACCCCACATGAATTTCACTTGCTCATTCTCTGTTCGGACCAATTTCCTGAGCACTCGAGGCAATACTTCCTGTATAGTTCTCAATATATTTTTATTATTATTAGTTACTTATACTTGTTATATTTATAGGTATAGAGTCCTCAATATCAGTTTGGTTGGTTGATTGTTCGTAGCGGTATATCAATCCCTATGGATTATTTAATGCTTAAATCTAAATATTTTAGCACAATTTTATGGCTTGAATTATAGATAAAATGTATTGTGGGTAATTCTGCATTAAAATTTATCTTACTATTAATATATATTGTTGGTTATTTTTTTATATAAAAATGTATTGTTGGTATTTCTACTATAGATATGTATTTGCATAATTTCAAAGAGTTTTATTTTTGTTTGGGATGGGGGTTTACTATTTACCCATAGCTAAGACCCCAACAGGTGCTACCACCCCGGGTCAGCGTAGACCTGGGAACAACAACAATTTAGAGGCCGTTCAACGCTCCTCAAAACCTCCAATCTCCCAATCAGAGTCATCAATGCCGGATGTAATATACATCGTCAGCTCAATATCAGACCGAGTGTTTTTCTTTAGCGGCATATCAACATATATGTTTTATGTGATGACTAAATCTAAATATTTTGTACACAATTTTATTTCATTTTAATTTTTTTTTTTTTTTGGTGGGGTAATAATGGTTTTAGTGACATCA